AGCAGAGCCGCTTGCATGACTTCAGCATACTGTAGCGTCGGAGAAGGCTAATAAGTTCAGGGCACGACACAACACCGTTTCGGCAGCAGGTAGGAGAGCCATAGCATAGAGTTCGGTCAGAGCATGCAGTTACACCACGCGTGGGTCGCATCCCCACCAAGTGCTCGCTCTGTACACGGAGTTGTTCACGCCTATAACCCAGAGTCCCAGAGTTGTTGCGAGTTTCTGGGTGGGGATACTGAAACCAACTACTTCAGCCAGCCAGGCATGGAAGATGCAAAAGCGAGCTTGATGGCCAAGGGCAGCGTTGTCGATGCAAGCCAGTACCCGGCCTTCTTCGCAGGAACACTCGTGGTGGCCAGCTCCGGCAGCACGGACATGCCAGAAAACAAAGCAGAAACTGACAAGGAAGCTGCAAATGCTGACCAGGAAGCTGCGAACACTGACAATGAAGAAGCCGCGAATGCTAACAAGGCAGCTGTTCCGGCTTGGGCTGCAGAGTTAGGAATCGATGGAGATCATTGTGGCTATGTTCGCGACTACTTCCGCAAGCGCTCGCAAGAGACTCCTCCGTGGCTGGAGGAGGATGCTGGCATCTGGCAGCAGTTGGAGCACGGCCGCGCCTATGACGAAGAGCGTCGGCAGGCTGTGGACAGCTATGCACACAGCGTGACCTTGGAGAAGGATGGGAAGCCCACAGCCGTTATCCGAGCCGCCCCAGGGGAGGACGTCGAGCTTCACGCCAAGGGATGGATCCAAAACAAGGAGGGTGACACGAGCCTGCATCAGTTGCTGCTCGTACTGGACACGACGATCATCGCTGAGGTCTACGACTCCATTCCTGGAGGCGGCGACACCTTCGAGACGGCCTTCTCCTTTAAGGCTCCTGAGGAGCCGGGTGTTTACATGATCTGGAGGTTCAACGAGCTCCAGCAGAGCCGCTTGCATGACTTCAGCCGGAGCGCCCTTCTACCTTCTACCCTAAATGCTTCCCTCAAGCCTGCAGCTTAAGCATGAGTCCTTGGCAGCAAGTCTTAATCCGCTGTCTAAGGCATGGAGGAGGCGAAGGCCATTTTTGAGCAAGGGCAGTCCGCCGATGCTAGGTACCCAAGCAGCTTTGCAGGCTGGCTCGTGGTGTAAGGCGCCTTAGCTTTGCCAGGCGACCCCTTTTAAAGGGAGGGTCTGACTCGTTTTGAAATCACTTCGATTAAGCGTTGAGGCCGCTCAAGGCGGCACTTAATGACACGGGAAAACCCTTTCATACGTTAAGGAGCCCGACGCAAGCGGCAGTAGATGTGCAACCAGATGTGCGCTGAAAGACCGATCATGCCAGTGTGCATGATAACTCCAACAGCGTTGTTAGAGTGAAGTAGGCGCACTCTGGTTATACCGACGTTGCTGAAACAGGCAGCTCGGGGGCACGGCTGCTTCCGTCATCAGGCTTTCACGACGGGCAGAGAAGAAAAGCACGATCTTTGTGTTTGATCACTTCGGCGTTCCGGTATATGGGTCGTTCTCTAAATTAGGGTCCCTTTCAGAGACCTTTTGAAGAGGGTGCCGTACTATATATTGGGTTATTGGGGACCCAGACAGGGACCCAAATTTAGAGAACTACTCATATGCTTCGGCCTGCAGCTCCGAGGAAAGCGAAGACTCTGCTCCAACTGAGAGAGAGGGCGTCGAGCCGGCTTTTGAAAAGGTGGCCTTTGCATGTGCTACGCGTGCGGTTGCCACGGCTGCGGCTTCCTTGCTGCACAGGCTCCCGAATCGGGGTGAGTCCTCCGTGCAAGTTGCAATCCTTACCAATGCCACCTCTCCCTGGTGCAACCCAATAAGTCCTCGTACGATTCAGTCCTGAGGCCAAAAGGCATTGAGACATCGCATCGCAGCTGTCTCGGGGACTCGGGCAGAGCGAGAGAAATGATGGATCTTTGACAGTTCCTGGTTCAGCCTTCGCAAAAGGAGGGCTTCTTCTCCAATTTTCCGAATAGCGTATTCCTCTCGTGTCACAAATGGAATTCGACTAGTTCGACCAAGAGCGCAGGGGCGCGCCAGCTTCCGAAGGAGCATGGGCAGGGCTGCTATCCTGGAGCCTCCAAAGGAGACCGATTCGTGGTGACTGCATGGCAAAGAGAGTGAAGGAAGAAAGGTCTGCTTGTGAACGCAGAGCAATCGAAGCTGCAACTGCAACAATTACGACAATGTCATGAGGATCGGGAGCAAATCGTGTGACATCTCACGATTTGAAGCTGAAGCGTTGTGAGTAGGTCGGCAACCTGAGTGAATGAACGCCTTGAAGAACCCTTGTGCGTTCTGTGAGCTAGTGCAGTCATGCCTGTGTTTTGCAGTCCGAACGAGTGCAGCTGTACAAGTTGGGTGCTCTTGGGTGGCTCGTGGCGCTTCAACCTCCCCCCGTGCTATTGCAGTGCTCCTGCTATGCCGTGCTCTGCCCACGTACCTGAGAATGGTGTATGTGTGTGTGTGCTGTTTAGCAAGAGTTGGGTACCATGTCACATCTAGTCGACGTCATCAAGTGCGTAAACGTCGCCACGGTGTCAACGCGCGTCAGCAGCGCACCGGTTGCCACTCACGGCGTCAACCTTTAAATCCTGAAAACTTCATGCATCGTCTTCCCACCATTTGTCACACAATCTACGAATCTACGGTCGATGCGCAGAAAAAGTCAAGATGGAAAGTCCAACGTTGATGTGGAAAGCACAACCGCCATGGAATGGGCTCCCCCGTGATGCATGTATTGGCTTGTGGTGGTGTCCACAACACGGATAGTCCAAGCCCGTTGTTCAGCTGGAGCGATGGGTCATGAGAAGCAAATCACAATTTCTTTCGCCCACACATTTCCCGTACCAATAAGAGCCGGTTTCACTTTTTGCAAGTCTCTTGTCATCGCAACTTTGAAGACATAGGGGCCCTTTGCCATGGCGGACACAGGAAGGACGTTGGGAGAGGAGTTCGATGCCGGGGACTCGAAGAGAGCTGCCCCTTTTTCAAGACGTAGTCGTCCTAGTAACATCAGGTACAGAAATACAGAACTTTCAGGGCGCCCTCTTGAAGGGGGTTTCTCGTCTCCATCTCGAGGTGATGCTTTCCGGGGGTTCGGGCAAGTGGCGGCTCGGTGCCTTCACGCAGGGACCCCGGCGGTACTTTCGAAAGAGCTCCCGTTCTTTCCGTGGGTTTTTTTGCAGGTTCAAGGAACACAACGGCCTGCGGATCGCGGCGATCCACAGCACCGGAGCGCTCTGCGATTGGAACAAAGCCCATCCCGAGAAGCAGGTGCCCTGAAAGCTCCGCAGGTTTAGGGTTAGTTATAGGATTTATAGGCTTTCAGCACAGCTCCTGAACCGAACTGAACTCCCTCCCGCAGGTGAAAGCCGGCGATCTGCTCGTGGAGGCTCGCTACTACTACTACTACTACTACTAGTGTTTCGACTCATCTCCAGGGCCGGGTGCCGGGTCCTCTCTCCTGCCTATTTTTTTCCCATGGAAAGCGCCTCAGAACTCTCTGAGCTCCTCTGCTCGCCTCTGCTCGGGGGGTCTTCTCCTCGACTCTCTGTGGCCACTCCCTAAATTTTTCGGTTCGGTTCGTTCTTATCTCCTCCGTTTTCTCTCTGAGACAGTAGTAAGCAACATATATGGATACCGTACTTAACTACGACCCTAAACTCCTCAAGCCCAAGACCGTCGGTCTCTGGCGCCAGATCGACTCGCAGAAGCCCGAGGGTGGGATGCGAGGCAACGGCAAGGAGCTCTACGAAGAGCTGCTCAGGGCCGGGCACTCTGCACACTCTCCAAAGCCAGGCACCACCTCGTCGTTAATTTGGGTTCCCTATTATTATGCAAACTTAACATCAAGGGGGGTTTAGGGCCTAAGGCGGCTTAGGCATGCGCTACTAAAGCTTCAAGACTCGCTGCTGAGAGGGAAAGCTGGGCTTCTGGGGCCTTGGAAAAGCTCAGAGAGAGCACCCTAAACGCTTAACCCCTAAACACAACCCAAGGTCTGGTCCTAAGAGCAGCAGCTTTCCCTCAGGTGCCCCGTCCCTGCCGCCTGGTGATCGGCGCAGGGCCCTTGCACGTGGGGTGAGCTCTAATTGCACCCCCGCCCGAAGCCCTAAAGCCTAGTATAATCGTATATAGCAATATTTGTAATATAGCAGCAAGGTATAGACATAGAAGTATATCCCTAAACCCGTTTACACTCTGAGCCCCGAGCCAAGTGGCCCACAAAAGTCTCACCTGGAGTCCCTCAAAGGGGGAAAATGACATCCCGAAGATGGGTCCGCGGACCCGATGCAGGGCAGGCCCGTGGGTGAAACGAGGGCTGAATGCACCGTGGTATGCAGCATCATTTCTTATAAGCCTACTAAAGAAAAAGGCCTGGGACAAAGACGATATATGTGAAGGCCCCGAAAACCCCTAGAACCTGCTAGCAACCCTGAAGGCCCTGGTGCATACCTTGGGTGAAGCTGATCTGTTGCTGCGGATGTAGAACAACCTCTTAGGCCGCCTCTGAACTTGAAGGTTGGCTCTTCTCACCCCTAAAGCCCCTAACACCAAGCCTATACCATGGTACTATGCAACCTCGGGGGAAAGGGGGGGAGGGGGAGAGGAGTCTGGGACTCTCTGGGAGTGGGCGTTGTCGCTTTGCTTCAGAGGCCCAAGCCCCGCTGTTCAGGGGCTCTTCAGTGGGCTCAAAACAGCCAGAACTGGCTGTCAGACTGTCAGCGACTCAGCAAGACCGAAGCACACGCCCAGCCCGGACCCAGTGCAGAGCCGAGCCCGCAAAGAGAGAGAGCTTGTGCCGACTTGAGTAGAGACGTCCTTTGAGAGAGCCCCCCATGTTTTCCGGCTAGCGGCTGCTCCCCGGCGATGGCCTGTGCCTGAGGGAAGCCTCCCACGGCAAAAGGATCTGCGTGCATCCGCTGGGCGTGCCTTGCGTGAGGCTTCCGAAGTGAGCCTGGGCTCTCCCCAAAAGATCTCCACGGGCAAGCAAGGCCCGGCAGATGCAGGGGGCGAGGGTCCTTTTTTCTGCTTTTCTCTGGGGGGGCCTTTTCTGAAGCCGAGGCAGGGTTGAGCTCCAGCCGCCCTCCCACACTTGGCTCGGGGGACCCAGAGGGAGACTGCGGAGCGAGTCGCGGTCGCCATCGCTCCCTCTCTCAGGATCTCCTGGTGCATCCTCTTGGCCTACCTTGCTGTTTTTGTTGAGGGCGTCCGGCGACCCAGAGACCCTGGGGGCTTAATTAGAGGGCTTATCAACAGCCGGGCCGAAGAGGGTTCAAGGAAGCTCGGGTTTACAGGATTTAGGGGATTTCTGTTTTGATATCTTCTGGCCAGCGCCTGACAGAGACAAGGTCGCCCTCCTGGCAAATGACCACTACGGCCCCGAGATTTTACCACGCCGGAACCCTCTGCGTCTTTCTCCGTTCAAGCTGTGCGATTAAAGCCGCACTCCAGGTGTCAGCGCTGCTCAGTTTCACCTATGCAGCATTTATGTGCTTGAGGCCTCCCCTTCTGCGCGTTTTTTTTGGGAGGAGCGCAGAATTCAACAGATCCAATCTATATAGTGGCAGAGGTAGCGATCGCCTTGGGCCCTGGCTGGTGTGCGATGTCACCCGGCTCCGGCCTCGACTTTGCTTTGCTTTTTGGGCTGTTGATCTGGTCTACGCAGTCTACGCCAGTTTAGTGAGGCTGGACGTCTGGCGAGCTCATTGCACACCACGTGCCATACACCTTCACGGCTCTAGCCTTGGGGAGCACTATAAGATGACACTATGGTTGGTGTGGGTGTGTGTGGCTGCTGCAGGGACTTGCGCTGAGGTGATGCTGTGCTTTGCTCTGAACCAGCAGCACAAGTGGACTTTGCCGCTCGTGGTCCAAAGCTCGACTGGATTTCTGGGGATAAAAATCTGAGAAGAGACTTCGGTTCGCGGTCGCTTCCCTAAACCCTAAACCTCCTCAAAAGCCGAGGTGGTCCTTCTGACGCCCTTGAACGAGGGCCTCTTCATCGCCAACAGCCTGGGAGCTCCAGGAACCCAGAGAGCCGCTTAATTAAGGGAAGAGCCGCTATCTCTATCTATCTATCTATCTATCTATCCATCTATCTATCTATCTACCTATCTATCTATCTATCTATCTATCTATCTATCTATCTATATATATATATGTGCATACATATATGTATATATAGACACAGACATATATATATATATGTACATATATATACACGCATGCATACATACCTATACCTATGCATATACATATACATATACATATACATATACATATACATATACATATACATATACATACATATATATATATATGTATAGTGTAAATGACAAGTCCCATCACCTCTGTAGTTGGAGTTTGACAGGCTGGGTTGCCAAAGCCCGTCCCTCAGATGTGGGAAGCGGATCTGGAACCATTTCTCTGATTTTCACACTATAGAAACATTGTGCAGTTCTAGTGCTATATATATATATATAGATACACACATACATACATCGTCGTGCTAGCAGGAAAGCACAAGCCTCCTCCTTTTTGCTCGAAGCTCGAGCGCAGACAGATCGCTTCACTTCAATCCTGCACAGTCTCTGATTGCCGCGCCGTTCTACTGAATTCTATTGCAGCATTTTCTGGCTTGGTGGGGGGCAGGTCCTCGGTCACCCGCGAAGGACCTCTTTCTCACTACCTTCCCGTGTTTCTAACATGGCTGCGGCTTTTGAATATGTGACCGCAGAACATGTGAAGACGGATGTTGGCAGACCGAGATTGCCGTCAGGGAGCACGCTGAACATGGCAGCAGTAAGGAAGAAGCATCGCCAGCATGTCTGGATGCTTTCGCAAGTCCATGTGCAGGCAGTGAAGACAGACGATGCATGTGCGTACCTATATACATATTCATAGGGAAGTTCGTACATACAAAGATGCCAGGGGACAGTTGCATGCAAGCCTGCATCCATGCATACGTACCTACCTACACACCTTACATGCAGCATATGCATACACAAGTTGTGTACAAATGCCTACTACATGCACACACAGAGACACATATCACATGCATACATGAGCATGTCGGTCATGACAAGACATCATTACACCGCATCGAATTGCGTTAGATATATATATATATATATGCAAACAGGCAACAACATAGCATGGCACTTGTACTTACATGCAGAGATGCCGGTCTCGAGCGCTTGAAGCAACTCCTTCGGCCCCCTCTGCAGTCTGCAGCACGTAAAGCTTGAGGTCAGACGGGCCTACGGATTCTCGGTGATTGCAGGGGACCCTTGTAATTGTCTCCTCGATGTTTTTCAGAGGACGTGAGATCAGGTACTCCTGATCGCCACCGAGATCAGGACTTGGATAAAAGCCTCCTCCTTACTGCCCCGCTCTTCTGTAAGCCTGAAGCGTTCGAGGCGTTGCTTGCCTGCAGGTGATGCAGCAACATTGGGCACTGCACTCAGAAAGCACGACGTCTGCATTTCAGACGGCTGTCGTCTCAGGAAAGCCTACCAATTGTACTAGCAGGAATCGTCCCTACCCGTAGACAGGAAGGATTGGCAGATGCCCTGGCATGAAACGCCATTTTCTGCTGCCGGCCGGAATTCGCCACTACTTGCGCTTCCATGAAAGCCGGCTACATGATCTGCACCTCTGCAGCAAGCAGTGAGATGGTTCTTGGCCTAGGCCGACAGTGCCTTATTGATGTTGTGTCTCGACCAACTGGCTGGAGCCTCAGAGCCTCTATAAGTGCGCTTCGGGCCCTTTCTCACGACTACCCGTGACTACCCCTTTTGGTAGGTTTTCCCTGCCATCTACTACCACTTCAAGCTGCTTCGCGGCTGCAGGGAATCAATGATCCTCGACGATGTTGCATTTGAGGAGTTCTTTGGTAGGGGGAGGATGCCGTGCTGCTTGCCGCCATACTAACCAAGCTCTCTCACGTACAGTGTCAGTTCAGTAGTCGCGTGAGTGATCCTGCAACTGGTGCATCTCAAGGTTTGCATCTCAGGTCATTATCTCCCTCGCTCCATCCCTCTTTCTTTTCGCAATGTACCCCTGCGAAGACTCTGGGCAAAGCCACTGGCTGACACCAGTCGAAGTAGGCACCTTCCGATTCCATTCTCATAGAATGCAAACGAAGACATCACGCCAACACATCTAATCATCCCTAATCAGACAGCTCTTCTCAGACCGCGACGACCTCACTTCTCATCTGTCACGTCCAGCGGCAGTCGACGGTGTTGGCTGTGTACGCGCTCTTGCTTGCAGTCCCCCTGCTGTTCCTTGGTGTGCGAATCTCCGCTTAGTGTTGTCTTGGACGCCAAGGCTCTGCATGTACATCAGAAGGTGGCGGAAGACGCGTTCCTTCTGAGAGGCCGCGGAAGACGCGCTCCGTTCCTGCAACAACATAAGTTCTGTGTCTCTTGGGAACTTCCCATCTCCCTTGCGAGGCCAACAGCGCAGCTCAATCTGGGCATGAGTTTCCTTTGCTAATTCTTAGTCCTAGGTCGCAGTGGGCTGAAGGTCTGAGTCCTTCGCACCACGCGTGTATAGATGGTGACCGCGCCAGAAAAACTCTCCATAAGAGCTCTGTTCGCTGAGCACTTTGGAGTTCGATGTGCGGCATCACTCACGGCTCAGCTTCAGACATGGCGGCCTCAAGCTCCGAGGAGCAGATCCCGGACACCACGGGTTTCGGCAAAAGCCCTTACACATGGGAACACAACATGCAGCTATCTGCAGCTATCTGCTCATCTAGAAAGCTTCCACAAGGACACAAGGAACCCAAAGATCTTTCTAGGGCATAGCGACCGACCTGGTCTCATGCCAGTGGCTGTGGCCTACGCTGTTGCAGGTGACTCGGCCTGACCACTTTTTTAGGAGAAACAGTTCGAAAAACTTCAGTCCCTCTACCTTCATCTTCATCTTTGCCTTCAACTTTGCTCGGCAGAAGAGCAATTTCAAATCAGTGCAGGTATTCTTTGCTCTGCCTAGTTATCTAAATACCAAACCCTAAAACTCTCAACCCTAAAACCCTAAACCCTATGTCATACACTCACATTTTAGCCTTCTTGATCTCTTACGCTGAGGTTTCTCGCTGGCACTGCTGGTGGTTGCTTCCCTGAAGGCCGAACAGGACCGCCGGCTCCTGACCAAGTAGGGTTCTACATAGCAACCAAAACGTGACGAAGAGTTCGATCCAGGTTAGCAATCTTCTGGCGCCTTCCAGCGTGTCCATATATGTTACATTGCTCAATCGGCCATGCAGGGCTCCAGCAGAAGAAACAGGCAAAAATAGTTCTGTACACACAGAATCTACATGTGTATATTAGTCATATCATGTTATGTTATGTGTGTGTGTGTATGTCATATCTGCATATCCTACTTCAGCGTGGAACACCCAAGAGATGATGTCGTTTGTAATTTCTTTGTCAGAGGCACTCCCACTTAAAAGGAGCCCACGTTAGAAGAAGATCGCTCCAAAAGCTCCGCCGCTCTCCAGTCGTGGCAACAGGCCTTGGCTTCGGTTCGGGCCCGCCAGGGTCAGGTCCGCCAGGGCCCGACGAGGCCGGGGGGGGGGAACCGGGGATGAGCTTTGCCTGTGAAAAGACTCCGGGGAAGATGCGTATTGTTTGGGGCCAGGGCCAGAATTGCTCGGTTTTGGGGGGCTTCAGAACGGACATTCGAAGGCCTTGATGTCTGTTCTTCGTGGTTGCAAGCTTGCATGCTGCGGGAGATGTGGCGGTTGTGTCGGGGTGACCCAGCTTCTTTGCCAGGATCCCCAAAGTGCCGGCGACGGCGATGGGAGGCCGAGAGAGCAGATTGGGGCGGCCCCTTTTTGTTTCGAGCTCGCGATGCAGCTGTTTTACAAGGCCTTCGCTTCCGGCTGCTCCTCTTGGATCACGCCCCTTTGGCTGAGAGGGCAGAGCTCTCTTCAGCTTGGGGCCCGGGTTTCCGTGAGTGTGATCAGGACGACACGACGGTGAAGGGCACCGAGGAGAGAGTGCGGAGCTGCCATGTCTACATCACTGACTCAGGGAGAGTTTTCATGTTTTTTTTTTGAGGGACCTGGAGTCTCAGGAGGTGCACTATCCAGCTCACGTCGACAGCCTTCGCATCCTCCGGCCGGACCTAGTCCCGGTGTCGCTGGAGGAGTGGTTCCGCCGAAACCACGACCCCGGTGCCAGGCCCCCAACAGAGAGCCCCAAAGAACCGCGAGCATCGCGCGCGCGCGCCGAGGTCTCGGCCTACCTGAAGCTGCTCTTCACTTCGGAGCAGATGGTGCAGGAACATGAGATCTGGGAGAAGGCCATGGAGCAGAAGATCCCGGCTTTCTACGAAGGCCCCTTTGGCGGCCGCTGTCGCTGCAGAAAATGCTGATGTGAGGGCGCCGTGTTCTGTGACTCTTGAGGCATGGCCGAGCTACTTTGCCCGCCCTAGAGCCATTTCTCCAGAGTTTTGCTCCGCTTTTCGAGGGCGGGAAGTCGCGCACCCCGTCGCTTCTGTGAGAATGAATGCCACCTGTGAGGCTTCTGAAGGAGTACCGAGCCCGCGGGGGCCGCTCCTCGGCAGAAAAAGCTGGGAAGGGAGGTGAGAGATCTTCAATGCGACGAAGATGGCAGAGAGCTCTCGGCAAATAACCCGGGAACACTGCATTTTTTGTTTAGAATCGAGGCGTGGCTGTGGTGTCCCACAGCCCGGCTCACGTCATCCAGCGCCACTACGAGGCCCACCCATGGGCCGAGCAGATTCGCCCAGACCTGGTCTTAGGCTGGGACAAGGACAGGGCGACCCTTTTCGTTCTTTGTTCCGGGTGGAGCACCGCATCTTCTTCGTGTTGTGCTGTGAGGGATTTGAGGGATCCGATATAAGTGATCAGCCCCTTAACCACAAACCGAGTTGGAGACCGTTTAAGGCTCTTCAACACGAGCACGCGCACCGTTGAGACCTCATGTGGCCAGATCTAAGCCGCCTGCGATAGCTGCACCTTCCACAAAACATGCCCTCCTTGCGAAGTCCGCATTGAAGGACCTCGCACGAAGATAGAGACAAAGATCCGACACACCCCGCTGGAGATGGCTTATCAACTTATCAAGCCATTAGCGGACGTTTGTCAGAACCCTAACCTCAACCCTAAAATTAAAAGGACCCTGCCAAACGAAAGCCTTCACCCTGGCCGGCACTTCATGCGCGCCTTGGCGGAAGCTTTTGAAGTTTGGGGTTTCCAGGCATAGCGGTAAGCCACTGAAACGCACTATCATCTTCTGATGCTTGTATGTGATTTTGAGGTTGCTGTTTTGATTTTACTCGAGCTTTGTTGAGTTGTTGTGGGTCAAGCCTGCCGGTGCTCGCCTCACTGCAATGGACACCACGGTTCTCATGCATTGCTCACGACTGTATCACAGCATCGTTCTGGTCATCATCATCGCCCCCATCACCACCATCAGTCAGCATCATGATTACTCACAATCGTCATCACCATCATCATCGTCGTAATCGTCGTTCTCATCAGCATCTTCATAAGAAGATGATTCAGATGCATCATGAGCATCAGCGTCAGCAGCAGCAGCAGCAGCAGCAGCACCATCATCACGACTGGCATCATCCTTGTCGCAGTCGTCGGGGTCTTCATGGCCACCGTGACCATCATCATACTTGGTGAATATCTTCGCGAGATTGTCGCATACCTGACAAGAGTGATGCCTGACACGAAGTTCGCATCGACCCGTCGATGGTCAGTGTTCAGCACGCATTGGAGGTTGCAGCATTTTGGCGTGCAGCCTGCGGAAGTGTTGGCGCTGGATGACCTCTCGCCTGGAGCACCTTTGAAAGCAGATCATGGGCTCTAAGAGCTCCTGTTCCGATCCTCCGATCCCTGAATTCATCGATTTAATGCACTTTCCGATTTAATGCACTTTCCGATTATCCGTGAAGCTCGAGGTGAAAATGGCCAAAGCTGCCGGAATCACTGCCGTAGCGGCGGGCTGGGGACATACTGTGCAGCCCATCCAGGTCGGGGTTCCGTCTTTCCTTCAGAGTTCTAGATTCTACAGTGACGCATGTGCTGCAGCACAGGACTACATGCGGCGGGAGTGCGCGCAGTACTTCGAGACGGTGCAGGCGCTCGTGACTGCAGGCCACTGCAGGCATGTATCCTCCTATCTTGCAGACGGCTTGCAGGACTTCGCTGACTACCTTCTCACGTCTCGAGCCTCGGCGCTCTGAGAGGAGCAAAGCCGCCGCGCGGCTTAAAAGGAGCAGATTCCGCCGGCCAATCGCCCGCAGCTCCCGGCTCCCGGTTGAAATTCCCGGGCCGTCTGTCCTGTGGAAAGCTACAGCAATCACTGCAATCAGTGGCAAGCTTGACAACGCGCCCACCGTGCGCTTGGCAACTTGAGCTCAAGTCGGCACGGTAGCAGCGGTAGCAGCCATGGACCATTGGAGCAGCACTTCGAGGCCGTTGTCAGTGGCCACGGTTGTCACAAGTCTCGTTGTGCGGAAGCCGAGGTGCAAATCTGCATTCTGCCCGTCCCGGGCACCGGCATCGGTTGGAAGCTCGGAGTGCTTCGGCAGGCACTCTGTCACGGCAGGCCTCGAGTTGAAGTCTGGAACTGGTGCAGTGTGATGTTCTCACCGCGTCTGAAGCCATTTGCAAGCCAAGCTAGAAGCCTGTGTAGTAGCTGACGCTTCGTTGAGTGGAGCCCAGCGATGCTTGGCAGCATTCTCCTCGGTCTTGCAAGCTCCCTGCTCTACTATGTGCTCTTCGGGGCGTGGCACGAGCTTGCCCACATCTTGGCTGGCATCTTGGTCGGCTGCCCGGCAAGCTGCAACCTGAAGAACCTGATGAGGAGCCTTTGGGGGAGGCAGGTGCAGATCAAGACGCCTCCAGGCTGGAGAACGCTCTGGGTGCGGCACGCAGGATGGCTGGCCTCCCTGAGCACGGCCGTTCTTGTTCTCCGCATCGGAGCTCCCATAAGCTGCAGTGTCCCTGCAGCCGTGACTGCAGTTGAGGCTCTCCTGTCGGATCTTCTGCAAAGCTGGGCGCTAGCTCCCGAGGGGTTCTTCCTCTGCGGGAACTTCGGCATGGTGATCTTGCATAAGACCTGGGCTTCTTCCCCCCAGAAGATCAAGGATGCCCTCGAGAAGATGGTGGAGGTGACCATGATGCGCGGGGCGCAGTCGGGGGGTGTCGTCACTTTCGTGGGGGAGGAGGGGAACGTGAGAGGCTTGCGAGCCCGAGTGGTGAACTTGAAACGCACGACACTGTCGACCTTGCTGCGGGCAAGGCTGAACGCAGTTGAGTGGTGGGCACGCTGGCGGGGACCTTTGATGGGTGCCGGCAGGCTCTACATGGGCCACACTCGCTTCGCCACGAGTTCCAAGGCCACTCTTGAAGGGACGCACCCCCATCAGTGGACGCCTCCTGAAAAGCACGAGGTCTACTTGGGCTGGGCCTCTGGGCAGCTGCGAAAGGCCTACGTGAACCTAGAGATTTTCATCACCCACAACGGCGACCTGGACTTCTTTGATTTGGGGGACAGGACCTACGACCTCTCGGACATCCAATCCTGGCTCGAGCGCTCCACGGGACATCCAAGGCCCGCCGAGGTGGATTCCGCCGCCATCGCCGGCCTCATGGACTTGCTCCGAACCCAGGGCTGCCTGGCGCGCAGCGTGCGCTACGGCTTTTGGTTCGTGAAGGCGAGGACTCAGGACTCTCTCGACTCCGAGGTTCCCTGCAAGGGGCTCTTTGAGGAGGTGGCTGCGGTGCTGGACACGGTGCTTCAGAGCTTCGACGTCGAGCAGCAGTCTGTGGCCCAGCTGAACGAGCAGCGAGGAGCTCTGCAGGAGGCCTCCCTGAGCGCCCTTCGAGAAAGCAAGCACAGCAAGCATGGCTTGAAGCTTGCAGCTGCCTTGTGCGACGAGACGGAGGAGGCGGAGCTGCAAAGCATGATCTACACGGCCATCGATGCTTTCTTCGACAACGACTTGTTGAAAGCCATGGAGCTCTTCATGGACGGGGCCAAAGGCTCCTTCGGGCTCTGCGTCACCTCCTCCCTTGATGCCCAGAAGCAGATCGTCATGGCGGCTCGTGGCCAGAGCATGGCCCTGGCGTTCTACCCCAAAACCGGGCTCCTCCTCTACGGCTCCGAGGCCGCCGCAGTGAAGGCAGGGCTCAACCTTGAGCTACCTCCGAGTCCCAGGGCGGCCTTTCTGCGCTCGAGGCTCTCGGACTCTGACAGCTCCAGCTCCGAGAGTTCCCTGGAGGATGGGCCTCCAGCTCCCAGCAGCCTGACGGGGCCCGCCATGCGTCTTGATTTGGATGACTTTGCCGGTGAGATTTGCCTCTTGGATTGGAGCGGCGGGCTGCCTTATGCCTCCTTCGCCCACCGGAAGTTGCAGCCACAAGCTATGAGCGAAGTTCTAACACTCACCTCCGTGCGCGGTGGCTTGATGCAGACGCGCCTCCAGAAGCGCTTGGTGGCCATTGAAAACAATCCGCTCGTGATGCCTCTGCCGGAGAGCTGCGGGGAGCCAGTGGCGAAAGACATTCGGGACATCCCCTCGGCTTTGGAGAAGATCCAGAAGGACTGGGACGCCGGTGAGGGCTTGAACCGGATCACGGCATGGACTTTGACGCGGGCTTTGAACCGAAGGCTCCGTGAGAAGGCTGCCGGCAAAGTCTCCGCAGACGCCGTGGATCTCCTGATCACCGGCTGTGAGGTGAGCTTGTGGCTGGGCGAACAGTTTGCAGCAGACCTCTCCCTGTGCTTCCAGCACTTGGTTGTGAAGTGTATTTCCAGCAACAAGATACTCGGACACTACGGTCAAGAATACCCGATGGCACAGACCGGGCACATCTGTGATTCTTGGGACCTTTCTGGCAGCGTCGCCCTCCTTCTGAGCCACAGCGGGGGAACCTTCGCCACACTGAATGTCTCGAACCTCCTGCAGGCCTTCACGACCAACATCTTCGTGGTTTCCTCCGAGTGGGACACGCAGATCGGAAAGCAGCTTCGGCAGCTGCAGAACAGCTTCTGCAGCCGCATCTTCAGCGAGGACATCGGCCTGCGCCCGGCCGAGGCCTGTTCCGTCTCCGTCTGCGCCATGCAGCAGATGCTCACGCAGAGCAGATCTTGCTCCACCTCTCGGCATCGGCCCTTTCTGAAAGACCCGAGCTTGAGCCAACAGGTCGGCAGCAAGGCCGGCCCGTAGGCATCCGTAATTAGGCCGTAGGCCTTATACGCCAGAGCGTTTCATGACATCTCCTTGAAGTTCGTGTCCCCGTTTAGATCGGGCAGCACCGCACAGTGTTCTCGGCCTCGCATGGTTTCCTGGTGTCTCAGAAGTCCTGTCGGCCACTTTCAGATTCTGGACGCTCTTGTATCGGAAGTGTGAAACATCGCAGATCCGGGAAGAGGGAGCCCGGACTTTCTCCATACGTACACGTCCCCTTGTTCAAGGTGACGCACTCGGATCTGGCCGAGCTGAGTCGCATGAACCGCATGAACATCGATGCCCTGCGGGAGCTGGTGGAGCCGAAGATGGAGACCTGCCGGACGCTGCGCCGCAAGGGCCGGCACTGGGCGCAGCACGTGCTGGAGGTGCCCCGGGCCTGGATCTTGTGTGCCTTGTACATCGCTGTCACCGTGACTTGGGGCAGACCTCCTGTGATGCACACTGCGAAATGCATCGCCTCGGTGGAAGCGGGCTCCCTCGCATACCACGTGGCACTTGCTTTCGATGCTCTGCTCTACATCTTCATGCCGCAGCTTGCGATTCTGATGATTCGCTTGGTGCAGCGGCGGCCCCTACTGCATCGCATGGGAGTCCGTACCTTGGTGATCGGAGATGTGCCCTGGGTGGCGCAATCGGCTGAAGCCTTCCTTTCGAAGCTCATGGCCTGCTCCTACTCCGCCACGGCTCTCAACGTCTTCTCGGCGAACCCCTGCGACCACCTGGTCCATCGCATGACCCACCGTGTGGTGCGCGGCACCCTGCTGGCCTGTGGCTGCCCCGATGGCCGCTTGGTGGCCCTCAGCAACAGCGCCCAGGCGGTGTCCTTGGCCGTGAACCAAGCGAGCTCCATCCAGTCCATGGGCTCCGGCTGCGAGAGTTTGACCATCGGCCACAGCCCCTTCAAGCTGCCCCTCGCAGCGCACGCCGTGACCCTGAAAACCCGGCGGCCCTTGTACCTCTGCGAGTTCCTGAAGCAGCAGGGCGTGGTCCGAAGCGCTTCGGGCGAGCTCGGGGATTTCAATAACCTGAAGACCCAGCTGAAGAGGAGGAGCTCCTCCCATCTTCAGGTTGAAGTTCCCGAGTGGATGGAGAAGATCCAGCACAAGAAGCGGCTTCTTGAGGCCTCGGCCGTGAAGGAGCAGGATCTGAAGAGCTTCATGGAGAGCCTGGGGGTGGAGCACACCCAGCACATCACCTTCGAGCAGTTTGAGAAGGGCTGGCGATTGCTCCACGAGGACAAGCTGAGCGAAGAGCAGCTGCGGAGGGCCTTCAACCACTTCGGCCAGGAGGGGATCTACCCCGTGGACTGCAAGGCCCTCCTTCGCATGCCTTTTGTGGAGATGCTCTCCTTGGCCCAGGGGAACCCGCTTGGAAAGAGCCAGCACCAGATCCGGGAGTCCCGTGAGGAGGTCTTCGGCGAGGCCTTGCTGCAGCTCGCGGACCCAAACGACCATGTGCAGATTCTCCAATCACAATTCCTCTCCATGCAGCTCTATGAAAGCCGTATCGCCACACTTCAACGCGCGGTGTCCTTCTTCGTGATGTTTCATGAGATGGCTGGGACGATCGCGGAGTTTTGGCCACTGGTGAGCCTCGGCTTCCTGCGCTACCACATGCACCGCACGCAGTCCATCATGCGGATTGCCACCACCGCGTCCCCCATCTCCGGAGCTGATGTGCGGCAGCAAATGCTGGAACTGAGGTCTGCCAAGGAATTCAATCATTTAGTGGGGAACGTGAACAAAATGGTTTCCCGTTGGCGTGCACGCAAAATGCAGTGAACACAAGCATCGCTGCTTTGTCTACCCACAAATTAGGGTTGACCCACATCAAGTAGGGTCTAGTTCCTGTTCCCGGCTTCTTCCATCTCGCCCGACGGGGTGTGAACTTCCTATCTTGTTATATGTTATATGCAGTTTTATCGCTGTGCAGCTGGAAGCGGAGCTTCAGCTGAGAGCACTGAGAGCCCAGCTTCGAATTGGGTTGTTTGGCCGAGTTGCTCAGAGACGCGCCCGGTCACAACGCCTTTCAAGCGGAAGGACCACGCAGAGGGTGGCAGCTCAGCAACCTCCAAAGGTATCGATTCTTCGGTGCGAGAGCCCTGCAAATCTCGGTCGAAGGGGTTGGAGTGCCTGCATTTTACATCCAGTGACAAGGTCGAGCTCCTGGCGAATGACCACGAAATTTGAGCGTGCCGCAACCCTGCACTTCTCCGCAGGGTTTTTGAGTGGGTGTATGGTAATTTACGGTTTGGGATTGCACCCTGTGATCGAGCGCATCTATGCCAGAGCGATGTTGCAGTCGAACCATCTGCCATGTTGTCATGTTGCACTGAAGAAATTGAGTAATGTCTGGGCTTGCGGACGTAGTTTGACTTACTAGCCGCGGATTTGCACTGCTCGTTCTCCTGTTTTACAGGGTCCTGATTCTTGTTTAACCTGTTTTTGATGGGGCGGGGGCCGACCTATAATAGACCTATAGTAACCTTGTAACAGCCCCATGATAACCTTATAGTAGCTTTCTATCACCCAGTTCTAGAGCAGCTGCACCGAGAGGAGCGAACTTGTTTTGCGCAGTGTTGGTCATGCCTCGAATTGCCTGCTTTCCTGGTGATTCATGGAGTAGGTCTGCCGCAAGGCTGCAGCTGGGGCAGCATGGATGCACAGATCAATAACCTTCTAAGAACCTTGTAACCTTGTAGTAACCCCATCATACTGCATGCTGTATGTTTTTTCCAAAGCCCCTTGCAGCGGCGCGATGGACTTCGCGCAAAGATTAGAAATTGCTTGTGCTGCTATACCACTCAGCACGACAGAGTTCTTGATTTTGCCAAGGCTCCTTCGGACCTTGGCGTAGCGCCTGTTCGACTGGGCGAGAAAAAGGCACTGCTCCCACTCATTTTGACGGTTGCCTTTGCATGTGGATGCGTTCGCAAGGCGTGCATGCTGTTGGCCTGTAGGCATCTTTGAGCCGCACATTCCTCAACGCTGTTGTGAAGCGTTGGAGAGCGTGGCTTAACGGTTGGAAACATGAGCTCACTTTATGACTGACAGTTTACGACTGCTGCCAGACATGTGCAAATCCTTTGCCAAGACGAGATGTGTGAAGTCTGTCGCCTCTTCGAAAGTTGTGCGAATCCTGCGGCTCCACGCTCATGCAAGCCATTATGGCCGACCGCAGAATCGTTCAGCACGAGTTGTGAGCCTTGGAAACGATCGGGTCTATAGTGCAATGAATCTGAAAGTTAGAAAGTAAACATGAACGGTTTGATCAAGAGCAGTTTTAACATCCACATGCCAAACGAATGTGGGGCCAAGTATGGCGTGTATAGAAAAACGCCTCGCGTCGCCTGGGCCCAGTCGCCGGGGGGGAGGAGGCCTTGGCGCAACTGAGAGGGAGCGGGGTGGCGTAGTGAAGAGGAGGGGAAAGAGGTGCCGAGACGAGGCCGAGGGCGAATTGTCGCTCCGGAGCCCTTGTTGTGCACAAGTTGTTTATCCGGCGTGCGGTGTGCCATGACTCTTCAAGCACTGCCTCTTCGGTCAGTATGTTGGAAAGACTTGGGCAAAGCATTGCGCAATTTCGAAGCCCTGAGAGGCAAGAACAGCTTGCAACCGCCACGACTTTTCTTCATGCTCATGCATGATTCACAGATTCGTGCGTGCTAGGCTCAAACACAGCTTTTGCTCTTTGGAACCCTTGCTATTGCTGTTGTCACATGCGAACCTGGAACAAAGTTGCAAGCCAATCGCTATTGTATTTGTTTGCATGATGGGATGTCGCATATGGGAGGGGTGAGGGGTTGATAGCTAGATCTTGCAGACATGGATTCCCCAACGATGGTGCGGCGGCGGAACGCCTTGCGCAGACGGGAGATGCTGTCACTGCCTCAGTGTGGCTCAGCGTCAACAGTAAAAGTGTTAACTCTGTGTCGCAGCTGGGGTATGCAGATGATGAGCTTAGGCCTCGGCCAATGCGGCGAGGTGCGATTGGTGAAGGTTTGATGTTGGCTTAAGCTGGGGGGGTGATCTTTGCAGAGGACCATCCCTCACGCCGTCGCCTTCTTCACGGAAGAGGAAGCTGCCAGATCGAGAAACCGAGATGGACAAATATGCCAGCATGTTGCCTGCAGGCGGGACCAGGCTGCTGCTTGCAGAGCACAGGAGTTTGCTGTGGCGACAGCATGCTGTTTACACGGGGTGGTCATCTTGAACGGTTCGTGCGAGGAAATCCGTGAACGACGAGAACGAGATGAGCTCGCGGTATGACAATTTCCTTTTCTCCCGGCGCGGCCACTATATCACATGTATCCCCGTCTGTGCTAGGTGACGAGTGGTGTGGCGGCTGAGGGTCAGGGTCCTAATTCCGCACGCGACAAGCTGACAAGCTTGGGATCGTGTCGTCATCGGGCTGAATTGAGGCCCTGCAGATCCTGAAGATCATGGCCACACAAGCAGCAGCCAGGTGGAGGAGGCACCCGCTTTGCTCGAATGTGCATGCCAGCCAAAGGGTGCGGGTTGTGTTGCGTGGACCCTAGGGGCGGTGGACCAAGTACTGCTGTGCATTCAAGAAAACAACAGGGGGATGCATTGAGCCTTGGGTTCGAGGTATGTTGTTTCACACGACGACAGTGGGTGAGTCAAACAGCTCCCACATGCGTGCCATAGAAGGACAATGCCGAAGTTTCGGAAGCGGGCCTTGCCCTCGGATACTCAGACGGCATGTGCTATTGTGGTATAGATCAAAATCCTGATGCTTCCCATTCTTGAAACCGCCTTGTATGGGAATTCAAACCTTGAATGTCGAACGAAGCCTCCACGTCCACATCATCGGATTGACGGTTGTCCTGGTACTCTTCACGGGTAAACCTTTCTGTCCAGCATGCTTGCCTGTGAAGAAAGCAATGTACCTCGACCCCAAGGCTCATATGATCCATCGCAGTCACAAGACCTCCAATCACAATAACGTCCCTCATAATTGCGGACATGCCGTCTGGGTATCCGAGGGCAGGGCCCGCTTCCGAAACTTCGACATTGTCCCTCTATGGCACGCATGTGGGAGCTATTTGACTCACCCACTGTCGTCGTGTGAAACAACATACCTCGACCCCAGTGGTGCGTAAGTTGCAGGCGCGCGAAGTTTACCGTGTGACTGTGCCAGTGGGGCCTTATTTTGCTGCAAGACAATTGTGATGCGGGAGATAGGGGAAATACGGGATTGAAGAGTGCGGGCAATGTTTTACCCAGGGGCCGTTGCCAGGGCAAGAAGTGGCTCCGTTCTCAGAATGTTTGAACAGCCGGTGAGGTTCCTATGCAGTTGTGTTCACGATCTGTGATGTGAGGCGTACACCATGAGAGAGTTCCTGGATGAGGATCTTCGCTGCACAGAGGTGGCGCTGAAGGTGTTGAAGCGCCTTTGCGAGCAGTGCAGCCAGTGAGAAAACTGCGTGTCGGCCGTGTGGCTTGTGGATACCCTTGTTTGTTGGTGCTAGATTGCTTGGGGGTAGGAGAAGGTTGGGTTGATGACGTTGTAGAGTAGCTAGACAGGACTTGCGAGTTCCAAGACGGGTCCAAGGTGGCTCCGGCCAGCATTGTAGTGACATTGTGTTGGGTGATTGCAGGACATGCGAGATCTTGGATCATATGACTGGAGAGCAGCGCTGCGGGCCGGGATGACACAATAGTTGCAATACATTGCAATACTTTTCTCGCAGCTTCGCAGCTTCTCGCAGCCTCACAGCTCCACTCGTTTGCTCGCGGCTCCGCAGATTCTCGCAGCTTCGCAGTTCCACCTCCATTTTCCTGACCCGGCTGCCCAAGCTATGAATCGCACAGCCGCAAGTCAACAAACACACAGATTAGCATGGCCTCCTGCTCAAGGATGGGCCGGCGCATTCGTGGCTTACGCATCGTGTGGGGAAAAAACTGGCTGCAGCTACAGGCCCAGACACTGCCCGCCTCACCACAACTTCCCAAACAGCACGCGGTCCCTTTCATTCGCAAGGTTTTTTTGTTAAAGCGATTTGTAAGCGCTCGCCGATTCCTGGTGTGGCCTGGGCTGCGGAGTGGTTGGCCTGCGCCTGAAGTGCATATGAGCCATCTTCTAAACTCATGAACTGGGTGGGGTTTAGGTTTTAAGGATTAGGATATGGATTGTGGGAACTTTTTTTCACATACCTGCATGAACGTGCACGTTGGGACGCATTTCTGAAGCATGCCTGCGTTGCACGTTTCCAAGGCGGCCAGCGGCCAATGCAGACCTTGGAGGAGTTCTCGGAACCTCCTGCTTCGCAGGCCGAGTCATACGTGCAATCGTCAGGCGAACAGTTTCCATGCCTGTACGCATCGGCCAATCAGGGACTTGTGACGTTAGACGAGTTCTGTGTGCGGAGCCCAGACATCTGCCGGCGATGGTGCTCACAAGATCTTGTGTGATCAGTGCTTGATTCACGATAATGATGTATCGTGAGTCCTTATGTCTGTTCTTATTCCTGATGTCAGGGTATCATGATGAAATGTGTGCTTGACGTTGCCTCACCAACTTCACGCCCAGATTTTGAGGCTCCGTTACCAACCTTGGATGAGTTTGTGGGCGACATCCACCAGGAAGAGGCTGCTTCTTTGGGACTCTTGGTGGTTGATTCATGTATCTGGGATGAATCCAAAATAAGGTGGTTCCGTCTCATGTCCATCATGGCGTAAGCTCACAATGCTTCACATCCCTTTCACAAGCAACGTCTTCTGCCGGTCTGGCAAGGTAGGCAGCCTCAAAGTCGAATACTGTA